GTATGTGGGCTAAACTGGAATTGAATTTGGTACCATTCACTTTATTAACCTGGTAAAAGCACTCTGGTCAAAAAGCACAAAGACTCTGACAGAGGAGAATCTGCTTTCATCAACACTGCAAGGCAGAGCCAAGATACAAACACAGGTTATGCTGCCCTGTCTCTCTCTCATCAGGTAGTGAGATCTAGCAACTTTTAGCATAATGAATTTAGCAGGGATGCCTTCTCTACACAGTCCATCAGGCCTGCCATCTAGAAGATTAAATTATGTCTGTAAGCATTAAAGCGCTGATGCTGTATTTGGGCGGCATGCATGCATCCATTTGCAAAATTCTATATAACAAAATTAAAAACATGGACACCTATTGAAAATGGCTTGGCTCTAGCACTTAAATCCAACCACTCCAAACAGTCTGCTGACTAATGCATTTCTAATCATTTCTGTGATCAATGTTAGCTACTGTGCAATAAGATTAATCAGCCATATGCAAAGCTGGGATCACCTTGAACAAGACAAGAAAGAGGGGAAAAATGGGAGATGAAAGGGCTGAAAGAAAGTGTCTTAGCTGTTGTGTACAGTAATAAAGAACACCTACCCTATTCACACTTTTCATGCCACTGGTTTCATGTGTGTGTTTCAGCTGCATTACACCGTTGTGTTCCCCTCAGCTGTGCTTTGGCATCTGTGCGTGGCCATCTCACTGCTGAATAGCTGCCTGATTATTCCAAATCTAAGGGAATATTCAAACAAGGCTGATAATGCATTCTTCCATATGATTCTCCAGAGCTGGGACAGCTGTTCAGCAGCTTTCAATGCCATGTTCAGAAAGGGGCCGATTTCTCTGCTAAATTAATAGGCCCTATTAAAAATCAGGGAGAAGTCTGACAAATGAAACAGCGATTCGGTCTGTCTCAGGACCAAGGCTACAGCTATGTCATATAGCTGATAAATAGTACACCAAAATGATTGAGAAATTATTGTTTAACTGCATAATCAAAGGCCACACACTATTTCAATGGCCATGTAGGCAAACTGAACCGAAGCACCGAGTCTGCTTTTGGTAGCACACAAAGCCTGGACTGTAAGCGTCGTTCACATTTTTAGACAACAACTGTCAGTAACTTCATCATAAACACAGTTGTACAAATCAAACAGATTACACCAAGGTCAATTTCACACAACTGTCCAGCAAAATGATAAAACTTTAATGACATGAATTTGTTGGCTGTATCAGACATGGGGCATTACCGGAGATCAGTGCCTCTTTGTTCGCTCCACTTTGGCCACACTGTGATTTGAGAGTGCAGGAGGGTGCTGCCATGCTGGTGCCTTGTAAAGTTTCAACCAGCAGATAAATTCTTTTAGTCTGGCTTTCCCCCCGTCTCTTTCTCTCTCTCTTTCTCTCTCTCTCTCTTTCTCTAGAACAAAGCGGCTGCCCAAGGGCACACCTGTAAGGTGCAGACCCTCGACAAGCTTACCTCAGTGGCCTCTCCTGCTGTACTCAAAAGGCAATTATTCCTCCCAGAAGATAGAACACTGTCAACTTCAAACAGAGAACATTCTTTAGGCAGATTAGACTAAAATTATGTTTTATTATTTGGGTCCTGAAGAGTGAATTGGACTCTATTTGGTCATCTTTGTGGTGAAATCCAAGACAGTTTAAATGGCAGAGGTATGTTTGGAGTCGGGGTAATACTCTGGTGTCTTTATGAAAGGGCAACAGAGAGGATCAGATTAGAAGCTGAACAGCGAGAGTCTTTCAGTGCGGCTGTGCTATCATCTCTGTCTTCTTGTCTGTGCCTGTAGAGAGGTTAAATTAAATGGCTGTAATAAATGTTTTGGTCTTGCTGATGTGGTATGGCTGGCTATCAAATGAAAACACTGTGGAGAAACGGCATGGTGGAAGATCAGAGAGAGGAACAAATGGAGGGTGGGAGAACTATGTCAGCACATTACCAACATTAGAAACGGACTTGTTTTCACTTAAACTTCAATTATAATGGTGGCTCCAGAAACAATTATATTGATGAATGCTTTCTAAGTTACTGTAATTAAATTATTCCATTTAATTAAGGAATTATATTGAATTTCTCCCCAGAGGACGGCATTAGCCTCATCTGCTGTTTTACAAACAGGAGCACTCTAATGTTGTGTGCTATGGAAATGATTACTAATGCCTAATGAAACTGTGTCAGATCAGATAAATGCTGTACAGAGTCAACAAGCCAAGCCTGTAACAGAGCCAAACTTGAGATGAAATAATAAAGCCAAAGAAAAAATTATTGACTGCATGTTTTCAAGGGCAGGCTTTATCAAATAAATTATCATTCTGAGTACCTGATCAGTGTTTTTTAAAAGACTAGAGAAAGTCAAACTAAATATACAGTATATTAAGCAGGCTTTTAAAAACAGATGTCCTCGTATCAATACATATGTTAAGATTTTAATTTATAATAATCAGTGTTTTAAAATTAACTTGTTATGTCAGTAAAAACGCACTGAAAATGAATAGCACAAAATGAAAGTGTAAATTTGATGCATAAACACATCCCATTGTTGTTTCCACTCACTGGCTATAGAAGCTAATTATACACAATATAAAGCTGAAATGCATGTGTACGGTGTTACTGTGGTGGTTCCGCAGTAGTTACAGTACTTAAACACACAAATGAAGTTCAGCTGCAGCTGACCATTGCCCTCTGCTGGCAGTGCCAAGCACCTGCTTGAAGACAGACTAAATATAGGGCATAAGTACAAATTGTTTGTATTTCTTATGTTACACTAATGTCATAACATTTATGCTGATTCACAGAAAAAACAAAAATATGATGGCTGTGCACAATTACAGAATGTCAGCCACATCAGCTTCACAACCAAAACACAGCAAATAATCAGATCAAGTTGTTTTACCCTTTTACAATAAAAAGACAGTGCTTACAGTAGCTTACAATGTGCTGCATGTGTTTATTGTCTCCCCCCTTGGCTTGGCCATATTAGTCCATGTGAGAGCAGAGAGGAGTTGTGATGCTGTAAGCACATACCGTGCATTCCCTCTCCTCCGCTGTGCAGTTGTTGAGCATATTGTGAGGTTTTAATACGACGGGATATAGAAGAGGGCTCGGCTCACATTCGCTGTTCAAGAAGAGCCAAGAATGACAGTTGCTCCTCTTGGAGCTGAGACATCCATGGATTTAAATTGCACTTTGAAAGGTCAGCACATGACAAGCAATCAGTCAGGCCCTAATTGGATGATCAGCAATCATCTGAATATGTTTCAGATTTTCTTACTGCATCATGAAAAATATGGATACATATACATTTTCTTAAAGAAAGGGCATTGTGACTAAATAAAGAAGGTTAAAATTTAATAATGCATGGCTTCTTTAATATAGAATATAATCAAACTAAAATATCTAATATCCAATTATTTAAAACAAATAAATTAAGACAACATTACAACGTGTTTTACAGTAATACTGTATTAAAGTAAAGTAAAGTAAGCTAATCATACAATATAAATTAGCTTTGAGGAGGGATTTATATGAGGGGGAAAGTGTACAGAGCCTGAGGAGTTTCACAGCTGAGGGGTCTAAACAGCACCGAAAAATAAAGTGCACTGGGTGAACAGGGTGGTTCAGAGTAAAAATGATCAAATGCTGTTTTATACACAGTGTATCAATAGTTGTCTTCAGCATCTTTAGGTATCACCTATGACCCTGTGTAACCTCAGAGATACTCACATGTTCAGTCAAGCCTAATGCTGGTTCAGTTTGATTTTATTGAGGACAAAAACTGCCTGAAGAAAAACGTGGAAGGGAGTGGCAGTAAATGACACATTAAAAATCCTTACACCCACTGATGTTTTTTTTTTTCATATGGTGAAAGGCTGCTCAGTCTTGTTCACATCCGTGCCAGTGTTTTGTCATACCTGTGTTTCCAGTTCCAGCACGCTGCACAGACATTATCACTGACATGGGTTTATACTTTATACACCCATGTAGGGAGGAGAAAAAAAACTGAATCCTGACAAGACAATTTTGTTTAGTTAAGCTGAGCTATAAAGCTGCTGTGATCTCAAGAGGACTGGAAGTTGGGATTCCTTTTCACTGCTGAGCCAAATATCCAAGCATACAAAGAACTGCCCCCCAAAAGAGCTGCAGTTAAAAACAACATATACCAAAGTACCGACAAGAACACCACAAAGGTAAGTAAGGAGTAAATAAAAGTAGGAAATGAATTCAGAATTTATCATGGGAGAAAGTTCAAACAGCTGCTGTAGGGTTCTGTACAGATCATCACTACTGAATGTACGGATGGTACACAATGTATTAACATGGTAAACGTGGAGCTATTTTGATGGAGACATCCGCTGCCGGTGTATGTGTGCAGGCTTTACTGTTGACTCAGGAATGTTGGCATCAAGTATGCAGTCCTGACAGACAGCTGCACTGCAGTGGCGTTTTTAACGTGCCACGCCAGGACTCAAGTCTGCTGGAGGCTCCGAAAATCAAAAACCCCATCAAAAATGAGAATGAGTAACATTTTTTTTTTTTATCCAACTAGACTCACTGTACGAGCAGGTGGGACACAGAGAACTTCTCACTTTGAATTTGTCCATAGAGGTTGGCTCACTTTAGGAATAAACGTCCTATGAATCAAATCAACCGTGATAAAAGTTAAAGAAGCCTCTTCATCACCACTCTGAGGAATATTGCACGGTTCAATAAAGACCCGTTGACTCACTTTATTCTGGAACCTATGAATAAACTGCTCATTTTTGGACATTCGACACATTCATGTTTCTTGCTTCTTAATCCCCGTGTGTTTGTTGTTTTTTCCACTCTCGGCCATTTGACATCATCCCCATTCAACCGCAGTGTTCATTACACAAGGTGTATCCCAATCGCCTGGTTGTCCTGTTTATTTTGTACATGTTCAGCCCCGCCCTGCAGACGCACTGATACCACGCAGTTGCGTAATTTGACAAGCCAGCGCAAAATAGGGAGAATGGACGTTTGACAGCTGCTGCTTGCTCGTACAGATTGTTTCCAACTAAAAGAATACATATGTTTAGTTTGTTTGTTAAAGATTTCGGATAATTAGTCAGAACCTCTGCTTTTATGGCCGCTGCCGTAAGGAATAATGTGTGGGTCGCTCAGGGGCAGGACGCGCAGCTTCTCCATAAAACCACCGCACCATTGACAGCCGACGGTCTGAGAGGTGAAGATCATGGCCAAGTGCTTTGTAACGCGGGGGATGCCGTCCCGGGAACTTCCTCCTTTCATGATTACAATTTGGTAAGGGACTGCATTTTTCTTTTGCACCTGCCTCAGAGCATCACAGTGTTTACTGATGCCTGCTTATTTGGCGTAGAAAGTATTGCTGATCAAAGCAAAACAGGCTATTTCCTTTATAGATGTGAGCCCTGAACATAGGACCGTAGGCCTAAATGTTTACTCGTTGGTATATTTACGGCTGCTGCCCCCAACCCCTGACTGAAATCGTGTGCTTTCAGTATCTGTATTGATGCTGATATTCATTGACTTGGCTGAATCGAAAGCAGGGCATGTCTGGGATGTGAAACGTTGCCCCCGCCCCCTAAACTTGTGAGGAAGAAATGCATAGCGCTGGAGAGCAACTGGATATTCTAATTTCAGCCCTGTATTTCCAGACGGCGTAGACTGCTGCGCTTCAGAAGGGCGTCTGCAGCTTGTGAAAGGAGGGGGTGTTCATGGCGTCTCTGATGTGGCAGTGTGTACACAAGTGCAGGCCCCAAATGGATCCCCAAATTTCTTCACAGAAGTGAATAAATGTTACAATGTTTTGGGATAAGTGGGGATTGGTGGAGAGTTTGGCCATGGTTTTACATTAAGCAGTGGGTCTTTTGTAAGGCCTTGGAAATCTTAGCTTTACAAGAAGAAGTAAGAAAAGCAGCACTGTGTTTCATGTCTATGAAAAGTCAGTACGGACTGTAAATCTTTTGCAATATCAAGTATTAAAGGAAAAAGACTTCCACTGCATTTAGATTAAGGGCCACAACGTTAGTATAGCTGAACTAGAATTTCCTTTTCTTTTGTTTTTCAGGGTAAATCTGAGATGGACAGCTACCTGTCTCCACACCCACAGCACATAGTCAGTTCCAAAATGTTGTGCAGGGATGGCGCTCTGATGCTAGAGACGCCTTTTACCGAAAACTTAGCCTCCCCTTACAGCGTTAACATGAGCCTGCTCCTTCCTGATGTCACATACCTGCATCCTGGCTTCTGCAGGACTATGAGACCGGTCAAAACAGAGCCGTCACACTCCCTGATGCACCCTACCTGCCAGGGCAATGCAGTGCCATCAACTGTCCCAGAATACCCAGGTGTTTTTAATGCAGCGGACACAGCAGACGGTAACTTCTTCATCAAACAGGAAGTTCCAGATTTCCAGGATGTTCCTCTGTTTCAGCTTTTGAACTCTGATTTAGAGCAACTTGTTCATGGATCGCAGCTCAGCTCCATCCCCATGGCTCCATTAAGTCTTCCAACTGGGAATGTCCATGTAGGCCCAGTGCGGAATCCTGCTAAACCCACAAGTAGCCCTCAGAATGAATGTTTTCCATTTAATCAACATATAGGCCACCAGCAGAGACCAACCTATTTGCCACCTTCTCCGCCAAACTCTGATCCGCCAAGTCCAGACAGGGGGAAGGCGCTCCTTCACAATCTGTCCCCACCTCCCTCCTACGAAGCCAGCATCGCCTCAAAGTTAGCTTTTCAGACATGTGATCCCATCGATCCTAGACAGACTAACAGTGTAGCTCCAATTCAAAGTCCTGACCAAAATTCCAGTGATGGATTAGTCCAAAATTCATGTTCTGGACCAGGCCAACATTCAAGCCAGACACCAGTTCAGACAGCACCAGGTGTTGGCCCACTGTCCCCAGTGCTGGCCCAGTCCGCTCCAATCAAGTATAATCGAAGAAATAATCCTGATCTGGAGAGAAGGCGAATTCACCACTGTGATGTCCCAGGTGAGACTTCTGTCCAGTCTGCACAATAAGCTTGAATTTACAGCTTTGAATCATTAAAACCAAAATGTTCCCTTTTAAAACATAACATGAAAGTTCTCTTTGTTTAGGATGCAAGAAAGTATACACCAAGTCTTCCCATTTAAAAGCCCATCTACGAACCCACACAGGTAAAACATCTTGGATTGCACATCTTACTGTGGAGAGAAAGTAGTGATGTTGCCAGGCAGAAAAATGTACTTGGCATACAGATGCATTCTGTGTGCTGACAGACCTGGCCCACATCTCACTGCTGTCAAACCACATAAACCCATGCACCTCTCATAAAGAGGAAGGGAGAAAGACAGAACACGTTGTGATTTATGGCTCACAGATGAGGCGACATAGCAGTTTTTTCATCAACAAAACTCTTTAATTAGTAATTTGGGATATAAAAAAGTCTGTATTTTTAAATAATATGTATTGATGGAAATGTATCGAAATATGTAGTGTCAGTCACTTTTTCTTTTTTTTTTATATAAACTGAAGGAGAGAAGCCTTACCAGTGCTCCTGGGAGGGTTGTGACTGGCGCTTCGCTCGTTCGGATGAGCTAACTCGCCATTTCAGGAAACACACTGGGGTGAAGCCTTTCCAGTGTGGAGTGTGTAACCGCTGTTTCTCCCGCTCTGACCACCTGGCCTTACACATGAAGAGACACCAGAGCTAGAGACAAATCTCCTGCAAATCAAGTCAGTCCTTTTATTTTTTAGTAAACACGGACAAAGAACATATCAGCAAACTGACAAATTTAAAACTGTGGGTGATTCCACTCACTCCACAGTGGTGATCCTCTTAGTGGTGTTTGTAAAAAGATTCAGTGTTGCTGTTGCATTATTCTATTTCCACCTGTGTGCCCCCGGTGTTGGGGGACATTTTCCAAACTGCCAGTCAAAACTCATTAGCTAAATGCAGATGAAATAATATTGAATGTTTCTAAGCCTTTATTTTCATTACATGTTATTTTACTAACAGTACATGAAAAGGAAAACATGAAGGCTTCATTTTTCAAGGTTTTCATTCAATGTGTCCATTAATTTACTTCATTCTCTTAAATAGCAAACTGCCATATTGTGAATGCAGAGTTAGATCAGGTATAACTGGAAGGTCAACGGCTTCAGTTTGTGTGATATATAGCAGTTAGTTAAGGTTGCTGCACTTCAACAAGTTGTGGATCTCCTAAAAGATGCAGTAAGAACATGTGAAGAGTAAATGAATAATGGGATGAGTACTGTCTACATTGTGAAATATTCCTCACATTGTGAATGGTCTATATACAGTAGACTCCTTATACCATAGTACACGGTACCTGGGGACATTACAGAAAGTGTTAAATGGATATAAATGGATTTTAGGCATGGATAAATTAAAACTGAACTCTTTTTTTTCTTCAGGAGCTTTATGAGCATTGGATGGGTAATTAAATTTTAATGTAATTCCTGAAAAGGTTAAAATTATTTTGGATGGACCTTTGTCCCATGCTAACTATAGAAACAGCAATATGTCATTTACAGTAAAGATAGTATAAGAGAAGGCCAGTTAGTTTCTTTCTCCTGGAAGTTGTTAGACAAATCAAAGTTCTTCATGTTGACTTTGTCATGTCCCATTTTTGTTCTGCCCATAACAGAATTACAACATCGTACCAATGATGATTTGTCTTCCTAAGTGGTTTCAAAGTGCTGTCTCTGAGATTTTTTTTTAGACTTCAACTGAGCACCTGCCAGTCTGAACATCTGTGAAAGCTCTCAGTTGCTTTGACTCCTATTCATCTACCCAAACACCTTTTTGAAAGTGCCTTTAACAGCCTTTTTTTTTGTGATGAAAGACAAAAAAAAAACAAAGCTGCCCATTTGGGCCAATGTTCTTTTATCAGCTACTCTACTCTGCCAAAATAATTCTGTATGTTGGCTCCCCCTCTTTATTTCCACAATACAGCAATTTGTATTTATGACCAAATTTATTTATAATTTCAGTCTGGTTGAACAAAATAGATTTTTAAAGTTTATATAACTTGTTAAAATGTATATATTTTGCATCTGCTGTTTAAGGATATAATCCATTGAGTGTCATTAACTGTTATGGGGTGTATAAAGATTTTAAGCCTTGTTTTAAATTGCAGAGACCGTTTATTTTTGTGTTTGGCAAATTCTAAGAAGGATCAAATTACAGAATGTTGTCACAGTCTACACTGGCATCACTCTCTTCAGCCAAGATAGCAGCTCAGTGGAGTACATGCCATGAATTATCGCAATATCTTTGAAATATATATACAAAAATAATACACATGATTGACACACATGAAAAGTGTTACAGTATTTTCTGTCATAGCCTCTAAACATGAAGATGTAACCTAAATTGATTTTAAAAAAGCCACATGACTCTCATAATGCAAATAAAAGTTTTGTGTTGAAAATGATAATTATGTATGATTCCAACTTGAATTTCTTCATTTCATTCCAGCATCCATTTCCAACAGAATATTGTTAAAGTCTAGGTGGTATTGGTGTAGAACAGTCATAATATGAACATTTTATTTCACAGTGTTAATAAATAGCACTTTGTATAAAAATAGCTTGGCCGTTTCGCAAAGATGTAGACAAAGGTTTTCAGCCAGAAAACATCATATGTAAGTGAAGTTACTGTTACAAGTTGTGTGAAACGATTCATTTTGTTATTTTAAATGCTAGTAAAGAAGGAACACTGATACACAACCACTGGCAAAGACAAAACATAACATATTTCTGTGGAATATGTGCAAAAATTGACAGTCTTCATGGAAAGCTGGTCTACAAAATTGACTTCACCATCCACCAACTCCCAGTGTTGGATCACCTTTGCTGTTTACGTTATTTGGTCCTTTCTGGAACAGCAACACTTGATTTGCCTCTAGTTTTCAGTAGTTATTCATCAACACACCCTTAATGCTATTGTACTTATTACAATTCTAGGTAACCAAAACAAAACAAGATCACTTTTTTCCCCTTTGTCCTTGGCGTGAGTCATAGTGAAGGTGCTGACGAAAAGTGCCAAAACAAGCTGTACAAACCAGAGAAGACGCCCGAGCTTGTCCCGAATGCAGAGGACGTTCTCTGTTATACCATCATTCATATTTGCTTTTAGCTTCTTTTGACTTACTTGCCCAGAATTGCTTACACAATATAGGCTGCTGTAAGTGATAAATCACACATGATATACTGCACAACAAAATGCTTAGTGCAGTGGGAATTGGAAGCTTGTTATTGTAATCATCTGATCCTTTGCTGGCTGACAGAAACATTCATTCAGATCCAGTTATAATAAACTGCTGTACAGGATGTACTGGGCATTTTCTATTAAGCGCAACCTGTTCTCAGAAAATGTATTCACTACATGCTGTGTTAGAACATATCACATCTTAAAATACCACTGTCTGTTGGGACTAGATAATGACAACAAAGCAATATGATATTACATAGATGTACATGATGTTTTACTTGGATATTTATATATGTTGGAGAGGATTTTCAGGTGTCAGAAATTTTTCATATGAACTTTTTTTTTTTTAAACCAAATCTATGGTTGCTCCAGAATTTTTCTTCTTCGGCTTCTGATCAGATGTACTCTGTCCAAACTACAACACTGTATACCAGCTATCACTCAGAATGGCTTCCCTAATACCAAGATTAGGTTCCTGAATGCCAGTGAATGTGAGTACAGTACTCAGATGTCTAAGTGGCGTCCACACCACATACTGTCCATCTCAGACATACAGTAAATAGCAACTAGTTCTCTACCAGTGTGTTACATACAAAATGCAACTTTATTAACCTTCATGCCTCCATTCATATTAATATACATGTATATGTTTGAACTTATTTTAATTTCACAGCTCCATCCATATGAAAAATACAGAGAAAAAAGCAAAACACTGACTGGATACTTAAACAACTCTCGGAGGAAAGAAGCATAACAGAAAAAAGGACACCTGTTCTTGTAGTTTTGAAAAATATCAGGAATAAAAATTTCTTTTACAGATGTGGAATTCCATGAGTAGAATCGTCCCTTTTGAAGCAATGCTGAACAATATCACAATTTTTTCAGTAAGAATGAAAAAATCTGAATAAATTTACACTACACTCACTTTACATAAATACAAGAACAACAATTACTGTACGTAATATCAGCAAAACTTGAAACATAGGCATTGGCTTCACTACTTAAAATTTCAAAACCAGGAAATCAAAAGCAGGTGTTACACAAAAGTAAAATTGATATTGATCTTCATAAACAAAAGCATCATTCTATAGCTGGAATTCCATTCACAGGATTTTGTCCTGTGACTAAGAGTCTTCATTATCTTCCATGGAATCACAATGTTGAATTCATGTGCTGAAGTGGAAACATCAAGAGGCCTTCATAACTCAGTTTTGTTCCCCTTAGAGGAAATCACTTATTGCAAGCAAAGTAATAATGTGTGCTATAAACAGCTTGTGAAAGTGTTATGGGCAGATGCTGTATTTGACACAATGGCATAAGGCTCAGTGCGAAAACAAAGTTAAACATTAGAGGTCCGACTTGCATAACGTGCTTTTTCCAAAATGTATGATTTTTTTCAATTTGAAATTGATTAATTTGAGCGCACACTTTGAAATTGAAACTCTGCACAGAGCAGTTTATATTACAAGTTTGTGATATGAGGCACTATTCATTATTATTGCATAACTTTGACCCTGGTTACCGTTACAAAATTATGCTTTAAAATGAAGAAAGAGACGCTGAAGGGAAATACAATGCACCCTGTCCTGTGGAGACACCATCTTCAAATCAAATGGATTTTTTTTTTAAACTGGTGTATTAAGGCATGCAACATCATAGATACTGAATACGAGAGTACATGTCTTGTTGATATGTGCTTGATCATTAGAATTTCTTGTCCCGGTGCAGCAAAATAGCAACACAGAGAATTGAGTACCTTAATACAGTCAGTGTAAATAAATAATTGGTTGATTATAGCAAACACTGGTTCAGCCTTGGGAATAAAAATGAGTTGACTGTGAACTTAGTTTAACCACAAACCAAAAAGAAAAAAAAAAAGTAAAGAAAAACTGCAAGCAAACTGTTACATAACACCACACATGATCATTTACATGATGAATACCATTAGCCCCATTTCACTGTATATCAAATTAGATAAATTACAGTCTCTGAAAAAGACTTTACATGTATAAATGTATTTCCTGCATCTACTAATCAAAAGCCCTATTTTTCCAATGTATATACAGGCTGTAGAACTTTTTAATAAGTTTTTTTCTTCACATCACATATATTACAACATTTCAAAAGATCCTTTTTACAGAAAAAGTTATATGCAATGACCAAGTGCCCCTCAATCATAAAATGTTCCTATACATTATATTGATGATAAAATATGATGATGATTATTTGCTTATAAATTGACATCTGAAATAAAATAATTTGAAAATCATACTAATAAACAAACAAGGTGCTGATATGCTTTTGCCAAAATAGTAATACAACTGGGCATAATGACATTGTACACAAACAATATACATAAATAATGATAACATAACATTATCATTTTTTTTTTTGTTGCGTTGACAGGTTATCACATATATTGGGTGCATGTGTGGGAATGACTTCCTGGATTTGGCTATTTACTGAAAGTGAGGATGCTGACTACAAGTGTACAGGTGCGTGTAATGTGTGCGAGTGCATGTGATGTGTCTAAGTGTATGGTTTTCAAGGTGCTATTATCAAAAAGGTTGCCATTTCCTTTTACTGGCTTCGGTCCAATAAATACATTTAGCAGCACTATCAAATAATATGGGTTGGCCTGATACTCTGGGTTTATGTCTGATGTTCTCTAAAGGATACCTCTGCCTGTAAATGAATTTAAAACGTAGCCTACTGCACATACAAAATGTATTTCTGTATGTGCATGTGCGAATATTTTATATACTGTATGTACTATGCATGTACATGTGTTTCCTCCATTTTGAGCATTTTATATAACCAAATCTCAGGTAAATCAGATGTCATTTCAAGTTACTTTCTGTATTTAAGTGAAACAAAATCAAATAAAATAATGTGGAGCAAATCACTAACTGAGACACATCAGATTAGGGCTTCATGTTGGACTTACAAACCAATCAGTAAAAGAGGGGAGTCATGGTACAGAGTAAGGAGTTGGCCCAGATAGAAACCTCTCCTCAGATACTGACATCAGCAAACAGAACAAAGAGGAGGCTGATGGTCCTTCTTATCACATTTTTAGAAAGTATTGTTCATCTGTTTTGTACTTCAGGTACCATGTTATCCCTGTAACATTGCAGCCGGTGTCATTATCAGCTTATGGTCAAGTGCTGCTGTGCAAAACCACAACACAAATTTCCTTTCACTGTGAAACACAGCTGAGAAACAGAGCTGAATAATACAAACAGATAGACCGAGACAGAATGAAAGCATGAGTCTATAAGGTGCCTCTATTATTTTTTTTTCACATACTGGAAATCCACTCTGATTGTTTTAAAGTTCACTGTACATGAGGGGTTGTATTTTTCTGAGTTAACCATAAGCAATAAGCAGGCATAAAAAAGCAAGATTCAATAAACAAAATGCTGTTATACTGAAAGTATATTTATCCTTTAAGATTGCACTTTACTGATTGCTAATCACGGCACAAAATCCACCAAAGATTTTTTTTTTTCCTTTTTCTTTTTTTTGTAGAAAATGCTTTCAAGAGGCTCAACATAAAGAATAGCACTGATGAGATTTGGGGTTGTTCAGCCCTGTGACTGGGTCAGAAATGGTGTGTTTCTCTGCTGGTGTGATGATATGCACGTTCAGTTTCTATGGTTTGAAATAAAGCAGTGAGTATCTGAAACAGTGAAAGCTTTGATGAGGTTGATCCGCTCAAGTTGCGGCTATTTGAGTTGTGTCGTTTGCTGGCAATGAGAATAAGTGAAAGCCAGGCCCTCCTTTAGCGTCTCTATGGGATGCCTCTGAAATGACAGCAGACTCCAGCTGGCAAAGAAAACCCATCTGTGAGGCGACAGCGCCCTCTGCTGGTCCTAAATCGGACTCACAGGGAGGCATGGCGAATCAATACAGCCTGTAACTCCAAACTGGCCCAAGTCTTTTCCTGTGATCCAGATGTTAACTGCATTCTGCTCACACAGAATATCCATTCCATACAAAGGGGGTCTTTCACATTATGAATGCTGGAAAAGCAGCCGTTTGAACAGTGATGAAAAGAAAGATACCAAAACGAGAGAGTTGTGATTGCATTGTTTGTTTTTTGTCTAAACAAAAAGTGTGAGTTTATCTTGAAATCAAAGTGAAACATTTATGAACAGTGCTGTAAAAGACAGTTCCTATTAAATTCCAAACAATGACAATAAAAGATCCTGCCATCTCTTCCTTCCAACCCAAAGAGGATCCAGAAGTGACCCTGTTTTGTGCTCCTCAAGCTTGTGCACCTCTCAATCTTTTCTTCTTTTAATGGATAAGAGAGAGAGAAAGTGTGTTTGTGTATGTATGTGTGTGTGTTTATACGTGTGCGTGCACATGTCCAGGCCAGCTGAAAAACATTCATAGGGAGATCCTGCTCCCACGGCTGCCTGTGGGTGGATGTGTGTGTGTCTGTGTGTGTGTGTGTGTGTGCGTGTGTTCCACTGATCTCTCTTTATCTCTCACCATCTTGATTCACACCAGCATGTGTCTCCGTCGGTGCAGGGCCAAGTGGTCAGATCTGGAGAAGCTGCGGTCACAGTCTGCACACTTGAAAGGCTTGACCCCCGTGTGTTTTCTGTAGTGCCTCGTCAGCTCATCAGAGCGGGCAAACTTCCACGTGCAGCCGTCCCAGGTACATTTATATGGCTTTTCCCCTGGAAAGGAAGGGAGAAAACACATGCTCAGTAGCTTGTACTTAGATCAGGTGTTCAGTACATTTACTGGAAATGTTGCTCAGCTAGTGGCCATGGTAAACTTTCAGAGGTTTGCATCTACAATGCATTATAAGAATAGCTAAAGTCTTTATAGAGTATGATAATATCTTATAAAAACATATTTTATAAGGTCAAACATTACAGTTGCTTGGACAGAATCTACTGTCTATTCAAGACAAATGCTTAATAGGTCTTATAAACATTTATGGTGCTTCCTGTCCCCGTAACAGACTGACAGTGTGGTGATGTGACCGCTCAGTGATGTGACCGCTCAGTGCTGCACACCGGCGTTTGAGCAAGTTTCAGCTCTTGTTCCAGTGTGTGTTTGGACTCTACCTTGACTTTGTTCCCTTTTGGATTCACTCCTGGCTACTTCCGTGATTAACCTTTATTTTCCACTCACAATACATAAACACTATGTCCACTTATAAGTGTGTTCAAATGTCTGTGCACAGATTAAATAATTCACTGACTACAGGGATGCTGAACAGTGCAGGGAGCAGAACAGGTTACCTCAATATACAGTATGTTACATTTTAATTTAGTCTTCAGTCTAATTTCAGTCTTGATTTGGGATTGACCTTTGACCTTCTGTGATCCACATTAAGATCTGGATTCAGTTCTTCAAACTGATTAGAAAGTGGGCTTGATGGTGACACTAGTGCAATTTATTACCTTGGTCACATCTTTGTTGGTACATATTTCCGAAGTAAAAGGGAAAAACAGGGATTTTATAAGCGTTTCAATGGCTATAATACATTTGAACAATTTGAGCAGACATGGCCATAAAGTAAATTCGCACCATATGAACACACATTCTAACTTACTGACCTGTATGCGTCCTCCTGTGTGCTTTTAAATGGGAACTTTTGGTGTACACCTTATTGCAGCCCTCAAAGTCACATCTGTGGATTCTTCTCTTTTTGGAATCTGGTGACTCTGACCTCCGTGGGCGCCGTATGTTGTCAATACTGAACGGAGACATGGAACTGTAAATGGAAAAAAAAAGAGAAATTGATTTATTATTTAACTGTGATGATGATGTTGCCACACATTATTGTGCCCAAAAATCCATACTACATGTTCATTCAAAGAAGGTTCTCAGCATGTACTGTAATAAGATGACCAAATAAAGTACAGTCAAAACATATGACAAAACTGTGTAGTGTTGATGATGGACACTATTCATCCACACTGAAATATGCAAGGGAATTCAAAGAGCTGCACACAACTGCAAAAATAAAAATAAAAACTGTAGACACCTCAGAAAAAAAACTACTTAATTTTGGGGAAACCATTTTAGTTTTTTTTTTAAATAACATTTAACTGGTAGCATCATTTTAAAGTTGCTGTTTACAGTAGTTTTAGAAAATAAAGCATAATGAAGCGTAATGATAATAATAATAATAATAATAATTAAAGCTGCTTCACATACAGCAGTGGTGCATTTTGAAGCTCTACCAGTTGTAAGTGAGGAATCAGTGCAGAAGCTTTGCCAGCAGGTGACAGTGCAACACTGCTGCAGCCCGACTGTGAGGCGGTGGATGAGGTTTAATGCCCGGTATTCTTATCGCTCACATACTCTGATCGATCAGAGGTGGAAAGTATTTTATTCTCCTAATGACTCCTGTGTTAATTCTACCATCAATACATTTTGGTATGGCATTTCCTCTCCAATAATTAGTCAGTATCACAGCTGATTATATGATTTGCCACCGAAGCACTGTAGTAAAGTGTGTGTGCTCTTTTGCCTGCATGTCTGACTTGTGTGTATTTACAGTACAGTATCATATGTATCTGTGGTAACTCACTTCTCTGAGTGTAATACTGTGCATACAAACAATCCAAGAAGGAACAAAAAGCAGACAGAGTTGTGGTAGATCGTCTGTAATTCTCAAGAGTGACTGTCGACTACGAAACAGCAGCTGATAAACAACTACTGCACAACACGGTAGAAACTAAGAGCAAGAACATCTCTGTGTGCTACATGGGATGAGTAATATCTTTGGGGTATATGCAATGGGCCTGTCTCAGCAGTGGAGGATAACAGATGCTTTTCTTTCAGGTCTCAGAGTCTCTGTTTTAGATACTGAGAAAAAGTTAAAAGGCTGAGTGGGGGAAAGGGGAAGGAGCGAGAAGATGAGACCAACAACTCTGGTTGTGTTGGAGAGATTCGAAAGAGGAGCAGGAGCTCCCAGACAGGCCTTCCGGTGAACTGTCTCCACCACACACAACCCACTTCCTGTCTCTCCATCTCTCACGGAAACATGATATGTCAAACGTCAAACGCAGGCTCAGATATACACACATACACACAAGCTACACAAACACACAGAATTAAAAAAAAAAAAAGCATCTACATTCAAATCACCTGTTGCTCTTGGCTTACTGCCAATCTGTACAGGAAATGAGCACACAGGTCAGATATGAAGTGAACTCCAACTCCCCTCTTATTTCTCTCTCTCTCACTCTGCTGCATGACTAAGTTCAGAAAATATTACATTACAACATGATGTCAAAATTGAACATGTAGACAAAGAAGTACATTCATAAAGCTGAAGACAGGCTGCATGTCTTCATTCATGACTGATGAGATTACCAGTCCATCTAACACTCGAACAGAGAAATGTCGCCTAGCATATAGAACCAGAGGTCATGTAGACCCATGTGTACGTGATCAGGAAAGGGAGGCTGGGTTTGCAGTGGAAACACTCTGAGCTCAGCCACTGAGCAGACGAGGTGGATGTTTATATTCTGACTTCATTCGTGAAGCGACTCTGTGATTACGATATAATTTAGGAAGGTCCGATTACAAGAGATTCTCCAACAAAGAATGTTCGACAACTCCTCATTTTAAATTCCTTCATTTAATGCACCACAACTGCTTTTCCTCTGCTGGTGATAATTCTGCCATCCTTGCTGCTCCATTTCTAGAGCCGAGTAACAGATTTAGGGTTTAATCTATTTTGGCTATTCATAGAAATTTAGTGATCTCCTGTCCTTACCGGAACATAGCCATTACACATCAGTCACTGGTGCAACACAGGTAAACTGTTACAGACATTAAAATTCACTTAAGCAACATTTTAATGATCCCTATGAGGAAATGAGTCACTACAAAAATGTAACAGAAGTCAGCCAGAGAGAAAGAAAAATAACCATAAACATTTTAAAATAAGATAAATATAACAATAAAACTACTGCAGGCTTATATGAATAGTAGGGCTGATTTGTCTATTAACAGAAAAATATTTTCTCAACTACCATAGCTCTGATTAGCCATTGAAGTCATTTACCAAGGAAAATGCAAAGTACTGTGTTTGCTACTGTAGAAAGAACTCTTTTATAGCACAGTAAGCAGATCTTTAGGGTGTTGATTATTGGTCGGAGAAATATTGAAATGTGAATTTATTTTCTGTTTTGAGAAAATGCAATAGATTTTCACTGTTTATTGCCATTAAATACAAACAGCTTATCAATTCATTTAATGCTGCAGTATGTAACTTAAAGTAGCACTAGCATGAAACTCAACCAATCTATCCATCTTCTACGCTCCCCCACGCTCTGCACAGCTCTTCAGATATTTGTGTTTTGAAATTACAACAAAGGGGAAACTTACTGATCAAGCAGAAATAATTTAAGAGAGGCCAAACCCCTTTAAAACTTAAAGTAGCACTAGCATGAAACTCAACCAATCTATCCATCTTCTACGCTCCCCCACGCTCTGCACAGCTCTTCAGATATTTGTGTTTTGAAATTACAACAAAGGGGAAACTTACTGATCAAGCAGAAATAATTTAAGAGAGGCCAAACCCCTTTAAAAGCTACTATCTCTGCACTGCTGCCAGTGCCGTTCACTGAGGAGGCTTTGACAACACCTTTCCACATTAAGACAAGTTCTGGAGCATATTTCTACAAAAAAATATCGGAAACAGGTTACATAATGCAGCTTTAATTAATTGAAATTATGTGTTAGCTGTAGCCCTGAATGCAAGCAGCAGTTTCAAGAGTTTTCATGCTACATGTTGTACTCTCAGTGTGTTAGCTGTGGTTAGCTGTAGTTCTATGTGGGCTGAGAAAAATTCAACCACTACTGGTCTATTTTGCTCTCCTCCTGAAAGATGCTACTAGCAGTGCAAACTGCTATTTATATCAACAGGCTTACTGTATGTAGTAAAAGATGACTGTGCTCACCCTTGTTCAGCAAGGGTGTGCAAACCAGCAAAACTGTAAGTGTTGCAAACGTGACTAGTTCACACTATATATGCGTGTATTTGTTCTTATAAACAATGTAAGTTTAGGTCATGCATCATGGCTGAGTGAATGTGTCTGTTTGGGTCTCAGCAGAAAAATAGGAAGTACAGCTGCAAACAGTTACAAAACAGAGCTGACCTCTGTTTAGCTTCTTTTGTTTCCCCCTTTTCTCCCCTCTTCATCTGCTGCTCTCCACTAGTATGACAGAGACAGAGAGAGGAGGAGTGTGTGTATGTGTGTCACCTGTAACGGGGTTTCCCATGATACAAACAATGCATATTTTTCTAACTTCTCAAAGGAAACGGGTCATAGCAACAGTTTCAACACAGCAGCAGCACTTCATGGCTCTTAAACAGACCAACAGAAATAGTGGAAATGCCAAGAAAACAGGAAAGGGTGTGTATGAGTGTGTGAGGCTGTGTCCTGTACCTGTCTGAGGACACTACCCTTCACCTCAGCCTGCTCCTCTGTCTCCACCTGCTCTGCTCTGTGACCTCCAGATCCTTGGGGACCAGCCAGACTTTAGCAGAGTCAACCCATCCAAACCCCTGCCCCCAGTATGCACAAACACACACACGCACACACACACACACACACACACGCCTTCTCGCCCTCTCTTCTCTGTGTCCCCTGTGCTCTCTCACAATAGCCTATCCACCGGTCCCCGGGGAAACGCATGAATATGGAGGAGGCTACCCAAGAAGCACATGACACATTCTATTTCACTTTCTCCTTTCACTCATTTATTTATATATGAATACCTGGCTCGGAGGCTGCAGGCACTCCTATCCTCTGCCCTTGCACTTCTTCTCCCTGACACTCTCTGGATGACTACTTGTGTAAATATGGACACTAAATTACACAAAGCAGTTCCTTCCTCTCCCACAGTGTACAAATGAAAAGAAGTAAAGCAACAGTGATAGAGTGATACGTTTCAAAGAAATGCTGTCAGCTTCTGTTGCAGTGCAGATGTCCAAAGAGCGCATGTGTTGTGTCAATACAGAATACACATTCTTCCTCTATGTCGCCAAACCAGCATGTAACTCAAGAAGACTACAGACTGCTTTGTTTTTCATGGACAAACATGCAAGTCTGTGTTCCTGTTGACAATGACCGACCTCCTTCTGGAACCAGCTGTTCTGTCCACTGCGCAGAAACACGTGCATACAAACTCACACACACTGGAGGACTAATACAGATGTGCACATATACTTATTTGCATGCACAGTTACATACACAGGAGCGATGTTTCCACACAGCACAGTCTGCACTTTGCACACAAAGACGTGAGTGTGTGGGCAGACCCTGGCAGGACATTGCTAAGCCTGGCTAGTGATTTATCTCCATAGTGAAAGCTTGGGCAGTGAAAGGTTGGGTCCTGCCAACCTCTGTCCTCTTCTGACCACTCAGTGCCCACGTGTGGCACTCGGGGGCATGCCTGTCCCTTTCAATAGCCTGCATAGAAACCTGAGTCCACCAGTGAGCATCTGTGAGTGTGTGTCTGTGTCTTCTCTGTGCCACTGATCAAGCACAGCCACACTGCTACTTTTTCACCACAACCATAACATTGCATTTAGATTCAATGCTGTAAATGCTCACACAGCCAGCAATTCACTCACAAACAATACAATGGCTTGTACACCATTTCAGCTCCTATAAGCAGGGGTGTTACTAAAAAAAACAGCCTGTTGAGGCTGGACTACTGTCAGCCTTGTTCTCATTAATGTTGCTACATCATTAGTAAGACTCTTACAGAATCCTGGAATACTTTCCTTACAGTTAGTCTAAATAAAAGCCCTATGGGCATTAACTTGAGTCTGGCCAGGCTGCTAGTCATGACTGTTCTGGGTTTATTGCTGGCAGTGGGGGCCAAGGCGTGCCAAATGCTTCTCTACATCAGAGTATGCTGTCATTCACTGGAGAGGGAAGTTTCCTCATTCAACACAGATGGACTGGCACCACAGGAGTTGTGATGTCTGTAGGCCGAACAGGGCACACAGATGTCTGAGCCATATGCAGTCAGACATATAGATGCACACCCACGCAGATACAGCCAAATGTAGAAGAACACTAGGTCTGTCTGGTAAAAGATGCTCGTGTCCATTATTGTACTCTGAACTCTGCAACACCTGCCACAGGTTTAAGTGTTTTGTCATCCATATGTAATCAGCCATTTCCAGTTACAGTTTATACAGAGTTTTTAAAAATGTGCGTGTTGTTAACTCTAGTATCGCTCCTCAAACAGTCCTCTCTTCTGTCTTTGTAGATTTGAAACTTTAGCTTGATTAACAATGGTTAATAGAAAAGGGAAGTGTTACTATCAGCAGCCCTGACAAGAACTAGGTCCATTCAAGAGATCTTCAAAATAAAAGCCACCAATAGAGATCTGCACAAATTCTATAATGTTAGATTATTGTTTCCAAAAAGAACAACTGCTTTTATTAAATGTATCCCCTGTCTCTATGAGTAGCAATATTTCAATGTTTGTCCCTGTTGAATTTTTAATTGTTGGTTAGTGAGTAACTACCGAGCCCTAAGGGATTCATTTTAATTAACCGTAACATTATAATGTATGTACAGTATGTAAGTACTTGGCCCTGAAAAGTGGTTTAATAAAAATGCTTTTACTGACGATAACAAATTGAAACTCCAATTTTGCAAAAACCACAATTCCCAAGCATCTTCCTGTGACATGACTGAATAGAAGGAGCAGCAGATAATTGTTTTTCAGATGTTAGGTTTAGCAGAGGAGAAAACATCAATGTGCAGATTCAACACTTCACATTTCATTTCACACACATACATATACAGATCACAATACTCACTCTTGTACGGCGCGGGCTATAGACAGAGCAGTGGAGCCCGTCTCATTAACACTGTCCAAGGTCACGTTTGGCAGGTCGTCGTCATCGCTGTCACTTTTGATCTGTCTTGGCGACAGGCCGTTGGGGTCTGTGTGTGCTGTTAGGAAGGGACACAGACACAAGAGACAGACACATGATGCTGGTGCTGGCCCTGGGGACTTATAAAGCATATCACATTCTGTGTGTTGGAAAGTGTTTCTAATTGTAATGAGGTTAAGTGCCTTCATATATTGCCTTTTCATTATTCACTTGTCAATCAGGCATACTGTAATTCTCATCTTGAGGACAGGGCAGCAAAGCATGAAACTGTACCCAGCAGTTACAGACTCAAAGAGGAACATTCAAGTAAACACACACACACTCTTTATCAGCCTTCAACCATAGTGATAAGGACTTGGGTGGAGCATTGTTTGGGTGTTGCTGGAGTCTCTCAACAGTGTGTGGGAACATTTTTGCAAAAAAACATGTGCATGCATGAGGGCGCCTCTGGTGGGCACTTTGTTCTCTCTTCCCTTCCATGTGTAACTGGCAAAGATTCATGATAATGACAAACTTTCATATCAATGGCCTGAAAACAACACAAAAGCCTAAATCCATCCATTCACTGTTGTAATCTTCAGAGAACATCTTGATAATTAGCAGGCTAGCTCTGTCCCTTTCCTGTTTCTTTCCTAGTGCACAGCAGCTAAGAAGGAAAATGCTGAATGTTTGACTGGTTAGCATGCTATTAACTATGACTCTGAACCGACGAGCACAGGGGTCTTTGTCTCTTGAGCTACATGACAAAGTTACATCTATTCCACAAGTTGTGACAACTTCTCCCCAGGACAGCTCATTAGATATATTGCCAGAGCCTGCAGCCATTCTGTCCTCTCTGTCTCCATGGACACAGGATACGTACTGTACATATCTTGATAACTCAAGAGATAATGTCAAAAAAGTAATGACCTGCCCAAGATTACTTGTAAAAAAAAAGTTCAGTATGAAATTAAACATTAATGAAGTAAAACAGTAACTCAGCAAAAACATAACAAAGAACATAGAAAGCTACACATTTTATAACTACTCTTGTACCTGGAGATTTAGGTGATACGAACACTGAATATTTTGTGATACATTTTCTACTGAGTTCTGTAACATTTCTGTCTACTGTAAGCCTGGTCCTTTTATAAAGCTATCAGGATTTCACCTCCTCTGCCCTCTCAGCTGAGACTGTGGTCATAATGGCCCAGGGGGGGGGGACAAAAATAATGCTGTAACTCTGCTGGAGCTTTTGCTTTTAAAGGTTTCTAATTGTTGTTGCAGACTAAGACATGCCGAGTGGTCACCAGCTCGCCTACCCTATGGAAAACCTGTAATTAGTCAGAAATGCATTGTGTGTTGGAAAGGGGTATTTGAAGCGAGGGACACAAAGGAGGAGTGGTGGAGAGGTGGGCATAGCACCGGATTTCTTTCTCTCCTGTTGTTTCCAGTCAAGCCCTGTTTCCATAGCAACCTCCTGCCGGAGACAGGGAGACAGCAGTGAAAAGAAGGGTGCCCGCCCTCTCTTAAAGAGGATGGCCAACCTGTGCCTGTGTGCACACTGGATGGTGTGTGTGCGTGCATGCAAGTGTTTTCATGTCCATATTGAGAGCATCAATAATCACATTAAACTTCACAAGGAGGAAAGGGGCTTCCTTTTATGACTTCGCTGAAGTCATCAACTTATTTGTTCAGCCACCAACCAATCATGACACCTGAAAGGGAAAACTCCAGGTGAGGCAGGATAAAAGCTCATATCCAAAAAGATATGTGCTGTCTTGTAGCACTACCTTATTTTTTACTTTGACTTTACCTCTGGGAAATGTTATGTCAAAGGTACCATCAAGTTATTAAGTTCAATTAACAGCTAAATGTTCTGTTTGTTTGCTGGTCTCATTAAAAATGTCAACCACCCCCAACAGTCAACACTCATTCAACCCATTTATTTTGTGTTTGGTGGCTCCAGATCTGAGCAGAACCGATGTTGGACTCTGTTCTGTATATACTTCATGTGCTTGAATAAGTGCCACCCATTCTCAATATCCATCCACACCCTCTTATGCAAGCCTTGTTTTTCTTGTCCTCCTTTCTTTGCTCTCCTTGGGAGCAGACACCCAGCATTTAAATCGCCCATTTCTGAGGACCACCCCACCCAGGCAGCCAAGTGTCTGGCTGAGCACATACTCTAATTACACATTTCTGTTTATTTGCTTGTACATGATGTATATGCATGGTTGTGAGTTAAAGTTGAAGTATGTCTGTCCATCCTTTTTTTTTTTTTTTTACAACCAACAGTTGCCCTGTGTACAGTTCATAGAAACACCTACTGTAAGCACACTCCCCGTGGTTAGCAGCAAAAACCACACCCAGAGAGAAAACCAATAACACAGACTAGGCCAACCCAGAGAGTTTCAAATACTGAAGCTGCCCCAGATTAGCTTCTCTGTAGAGGCAAAGGTAACAACTGGTGTGGCCCTGGTTACCTGCACCAGAGACTATTTAAGACATCCAAGCAAAATCCCTTTCAGGTAAAGATGAGAGAGCCTTTCAACCTGTACACCTCATCTTCACTCTGAAAGAGTAACACTGTCACCTCAGCGTCCATCTCTAAAAGCATATACACACATACAGTCCACCTTCACAACACTGTGTCTACAAGTGCTTTGAGTAAAAACAGCACAGGGCATCTGACCAGACAAATATACCACTATACACAGGCCGTCACTGGAATATGCAACCTCGCGGAGGTTTACAGTCAGTTTTTCACTTCCTAATGGAGCTGTCTATGTCATCCCTTGATTTGGATAAAAAAAATAAATAAATAAAAAAAGGTTGAAGTGCAATGACATGGTTGTTCTGGTTTACTATAAGTTATTTTTTATGTGAGATCGTTGATCTCTGATATTTTTCAAAGTATCTGTTAAGTCTGGAGGCTTGAGCTTCTTGGGAGACACATTGTATAGCTTATGTTGTAAAATAAAATTATGAAGAGGCAGTAGGATCAAGTCTGAAACATAATGCATCATATTTTCAGTCTAACTTAAAATGATGACAGACGTTTAACAGACATCCAAAAAAGAACAAAGTCAGCTGTAAGAATATGAAGTGAATTTGGAGAGCATGGTCTCACCTTTGCCCTGGCTTGCGGCCTCATCCAGCAGAGGTAGCATGATGGTGTTGTTGAGGCTCGAGGGTGATCGAACGGCAGTGGTGTACATGAGGGGCAGTGACTGTACCACAACTGGGATGCGGTGAACATGGCTAGCCAGCTTTCCTGCTCCCTGCAGGCTTAGAGGACTGGATGGAGGCGGCGGCACAGAGTGCAGGATGTGCAAATACGGCTGACCTCTCGCCCCGGTGCCGGGGGCGACCAGGGGGCCTGGTGTGAGCACCGATGAGGCTGAGGTGATAACAGATGGAGAGGAGGAGGAGGAGGAAGATGACGAAGATAAAGATGATGGGGAGAAGGCGGATCTGAGAGGGGATGATGATGAGAATGTGCTGGTGGGGATGGCGGATGAAGAGGAGGGTCGGGGTTTGTTGATTGACAGGTCAACAGGCTCTGTCTGTGTGTGGAAGTGCAGGTCGTGAGCAAGCAGGTCTTCTGGAGGCTCGGGTTTAACTCTGCTGAGGAAAAAAGGGACGCTGTCCATCGTAGAATAAGGGCGCACTTTAGGCGACTGTGGAAGGGAAAAAAAAAAAAAAAACACTCGTTAGATTTTTCTTAAACTAATTCACTTTTGTCATTTTATTCGTGATTAGGGTCGTGAGGGATCTGGAGCCAACCTCAGCTGGCATTGGGTGAGAGGTGGGGTACAACTTGGACAGGTCACAAAAAGTGCTAATAAATTAAGGTTAAGGACCATTGTTTTGTGTAAATACTCAGCTTCAAAAACATTCATTTTATATGATAAAGGTAGAGAGGTGTGCAATATTGTATGCAGTGACATTTAAACAAAAAGGAGCAATTAAATTTCCTCATGTTCATTCATGCATTCGGTTAGCATGATGTCACAGGCAGATTATATGCAAGTGTAAAGATAGTCTCTCACACTGGCCTCCTTTCAATCTCGTTTTCTTTTTCTAGGCGTGGGTGGCTCTCTCTCTCTCTCTCTTCCTCCTGTTTTCCATCACTCCCACAGAAACACTGCTCTCTTGGCTTCCCTTGTATCCCTCCTAAATCTCCTTTGTGATGGTGGAAAAACATCATATGGGCTCAATTTCCTGACTGTCTCTCTCTGTCTCTCAGCAATGGGCCTCTTAAGGCCAACGCTGGTGGCTCATTGTATCCCTCAACACATCTTTCACTTAACACCAAGCAGACTGTAACACAACCGCTCCATCTGTCTTTTCAAGAACCTGTTTACTTGGAAAAGATAATGAAGAACATGCACAGTAGGAATACAATACTCACCCTGCTACTATGTGTTTCTCCTGACTCCTAAGCTTTGGACATTCTTTGATATCATAATAACAGATATAATGTCAAATTAACAATGTTGCATGTGATGTAGCTGATCTAGACTCACTATGTTCAGTGTAGGAGGGGTGCTGGAGTATGCGGTGAGTGCTGTTGATCCTCACAGTGGAATCTTTCAAAGGCTGAGACGCAGTAAAGGCCATCAGGGAGTGAGCACATCCTGGGATTTTTACTAACCATACAGGAAAAGCTCATTAAACTTAAAGGGAAAACTCTGATAACAGCTGCAACAGAAATGAAAAATGTTGTGGATTTTCATCCTCACTTTTGTTTTCAAGACTTGCATTTCTTTCCCCTTATGTAATCCTGGCTGAGACTGAATCTGTGGTGAATTACACATTTTTCAGAGTGGTGTGCGTGTTCTTTTATGTAGTAGCCTGCTATTTTTACTCCAGACTTGTATACTTGTTTCCAGCCTACAAGAAATTTTACGACCCCCATGAATTGAAAAAAAAAAAAAACATTTTCACTGTGTAACTCCTCCTCAGCTGGAAAACAGACCCTACCCCATGACACATGCCCTCTAATGACCTCTAGACCCTGGAGGAGTTCAGCTCAGGGTCAGCTGCATGGGGTCAGGAGTCACAGCACATTAAAGTCTGCTTCATAATGAAAGCATTCTTAGTAGGGTCTTGACAAGATTACACAGTTACGCTTTGGGGAAAATATTTTGATTGCTTTGATTAAAGTTTTTTACTGTATCATAAGAATATAAGCAGCCATTCTTTGTGAAAATTGGATAACATGACCTTTTATGTTCCCCTGTGACGAAAAACCCTGCCTCTTCCACCATGGAAACTTGTTCTTTCATTTTTACTCTAGTTCAGTCAGCGACACTTTCCTCAAGGAAATGACCGTTTATAGGAGATAGCTATACAGTTACTGGCTTTTTCACACAAAAAAAAAAATCTGAGCAACACTAAGGATCTTCCTGTGAAGACTGATCCCTCTAATAAAGACACAAAGTAGACAATTATTAGATCTAGTAAAGTCAATGTTACCGAAAGCTTCAAAACAACAGGAGGAGTTTGGGGTTGTGCACGGAGCTGCTGCAGAAAATGGCACTGACATGAAATTAGAGTAGAGGAATGCAGAGAGGTGTTATTTTATAATGACCACTCTGCACCCCTGTATAAATATGATTCTTAGGCAATCAGCTGATGAATGAGCCGCTGATGGTAAAGCATGAATGTGCACTCCATGCCAATCAGCTGATGTAATCTTTATATATGCTGCCTGAACTAATCCAATGCTCCCCATTTGAGTTGCAAATGCTGCAGCTGTCTGTCAGCTCATAAAGCTAATACACTGATTGTTTAGTTACATTACAGTATCATGTGGCACTGACACCGAGTTTGCTGTGAAGGAATCATCGTTTCCCACAATGCTAAAAAGCAAACAGCAATATGTTTCACTTAGATTTCCTTTTTCTTAGAGTCAGATTTAACACAAAGATCCCTCCCTAGTTGCAGCTCCATGTCTTTACCTTACAAACATTTCAAAAGATACTGTATATCACTTAATTGTCAACATGTATGTTTGCTATGTCTGAAGTCCACAGTGCTTCCCTAGCATCAACCCCTGACACAGCCTTTCTTGACAGACCCTCAGGCTATCATCCAGCTGCTTCTGCATGTATCTCTCTGTGTTTGCACATTGTTTATAGACTATGAGTGTCATGGACTGCCTGGAGCTATCCTGGTTTAAGGCTTTGAGGCCATTAGATCCATTGAAGCTGATCTCTGTGTTTTGGAAACGCTGTCTTTCTCAGCAAGCGCTCTTAGAGTATACATCATTGCTAGAGTTCTGCATTTGCCAGTTCTGCTGGTGAAAGAGGACAGGAGAAGTGAAAACCACAAGTGTAGTCTGAATACTGTTCTTTATGGTTAGCAAAATGGTTGTAAACTATGCTTGACTGAGCCATATACAGTATGAAGGTGACGCAGCACATCTACTGCACACATCTGCGCATACAACTGAATTCTGCATTAGAACCTGAGGCCAATATCTGTGTACCATAGTACATGTGGGGTAATGCAGAAACACTGTCCCTATTACTGACTTTGTCTACCAGATAGCACTTAAGTTTATTTTTGAAGGTTAACATTTTTCCTTACAAGTACACATTTAAAGAATCCTGAAATAAAAAAAACAAATATCAGCCACCTATGGTCATGAACTTTGGGTCATGACCGAAAGGGCAAGATCCTGGATACAGGTGGCCGAAATGAGCTTTCTCCACAGGGCGGCCAGGCGCACCCTTAGAGATAGGGTGAGGAGCTCGGTCACTCGGGAGGAGCTCAGAGTAGAACCGCTGCTCCTCCACATCGAGAGGAGCCAGCTGAGGTGGCTCGGGCATCTGTTTTGGATGCCTCCTGGGCGCCTTCCTAGGGAGGTGTTCCGGGCATGTCCCACCAGGAGGAGGCCCCAGGGAAGACCCAGGACACGCTGGAGGGACTATGTCTCTCGGCTGACCTGGGAACGCTCCCCCGGAGGAGCTGGAGGAAGTGTCTGGAGAGAGGGAAGTCTGGGCATCTTTGCTTAGACTGCTGCCCCCGTGACCCGTTCCCGGATAAGCGGAGGAAAATGGATGGATGGATGGATGGAATATCAGCCAGCAGCAGAGCTAATGGCATGTGGACCTAGATCAGTTCTCCAAAGTAATTACTGTATCTATTTTAACTGGGCTACATGCGTTACATTCAAATAAATTATGTCTTAGTCTGAATTTGTTCAAACTTTATTTTTTTTTTTTTTTAGTAACAGCCCTAATATCAAGAATGCTGTGGCAAAGCACCTCAGTGGACTGCATTGAAAATGAGTGATTGTTTTTACTTATTAGTGTCAGGCTCACTTTCATGGCCACACCGTGATCCATGACAGTTCGGAATATAGTCAGTTAACAAACGTCTGTTAAAATTGGGCGATCCTCTCTCCCTCTTGTGTAAAAAGGGGAACACGTGTGTGGGAAGGTCAAAACAACAGAGTGTATGTAGTGTTACGCAAAACTGTAAAACAGAAACCTATTTAAATTTTGGGGTTAGGTTCTCAAACACATCTCAGTCAGCACTAATGGAAAACTTCAGCCACCCCCTCTTTCACTTCAACAGCTACAAACACATGTATGCACTCAAACCTTCACTGGCAAACATATAGAGATATGCTGAACCCGCCTGTCCGCCCTTGTTCTCATGCCACTGTCTTTGTCTTTATTAGGGGATACTGGTTAGTGGGGCAGGGTTTCCAGGCCCTTGCGGGCGAATTGTCTAATGAGGTAGACCATTTCCAGCAAGCCCTTGGCCATCCGCCACCCAAATGAAGACCACATTTCTGCAGCAGCCTAAACTGCCTGTCTGCATCTGTCGTCTAAAAGGAAGCTCGGTCTGTTAAGGCAAGACTGGCTCTCGGTGCACTTCAAAGTTATGTGTGTTGCAGCGTTAACATCCTGTCTGTGACTGACATCATTACATGTATGGAGAATGACTATTAGGTGTCAGACATCATTACATGTATGGAGAATGACTTCAAACCCCACATATTAGGTGTTGGTGCAAGAGCACAGCTCTCAAACCCTTGAGCCACAGATGAGAGCAGGACACCCAGAAAGTAACCACCTGGTGCCTTCCTGTCAAGTCCTCAGATGTGGAGAGACAGTCAGTTCTTATCAACACAAAGCACCTCCACAGCCAAACAATTCTCTATGAGACCTCAGATAACCTGATGGGTTATCAGCAGCTGGTATTTTTCTCATCCATCACAGACTAATGCTCTGGGGTTCATCTCAACACAAAACTACTTTGCTCCCCTCCTACAAAGCGCTCTTAGTGATTTATTAGGAACCAATGCATTATTGATATGTTATGAATGGAAATCAATAATATCTGAACACTAATACATCATGATTACAAATATTAAGTGGCCTGCGCCCACTGCACACAAAGCTGTGGCAGCCACACAAAGCCCTTGTAACCTAGCAACAGCTTCACAATAACAAGACCACTTTATTTCTAGGTATGTCGGCTCAGAGAGGCACTGATACTGTATGTGGGCCATGAAAACCCTGCAACTCCTTCACACCTAACATGGTCAGTACATACAGTTTCTTTAAACATTAAATCTCAAATGTGATTAAGATGAGCTATGTAGCCTTTTGAGTAAAACAAACCGACCAAACATAAATTTCTGGTGCAAATTTAAACAACACTCACAAGGCTTCTAGTGACAAGTGCTTCTTCTCTGTGACAAATTTACATTGAGTGCAGGCTCCACACAGCTCTGTGAGCGAGCAGAGGCATGAGTGAGATACAGCAGAAGAAGAGATGGAGCTGTGATAGTGTTTGCAGAGGAAGATGTGTCTGTGTGTATTTGCATATAGTATGTGTATGAGAGAGATTATTCATGTGTGATTGTGAGAAACCAGGGCAGGGGGGGGGAAATTGAGAGACATAAAGAAAGAAGTGGGAACAGACAGAGCTAGATAAGATTTAGAGTTTCCAATGTGACCCTTCTCCCTGAAGCAGTGACTCCATCTGTGCAATCACCCCCTGCCAGCACGG